GCTAGCCCATGAACTGCCTGTGGGAAGACAGGTTCAATCTCATGACAGCTGACTGACAGCACTGTTCCCTCGAGGAGGAGAGGCTGCTCCACCATACTTGCTAAAGAAAAGTCCAAATCCCTCCTTGCCCTCCAAGGTGTGTTCAGAGGTGTTATTAGAGGTGCTTCCTCACCCCAGGCTTCCTCTTTTTTATTCCTTCCCTGCTGGCCCTCAGGGAACCCCTACGATTTTCTTAGATGTGCAGTAAAAAGGCTTTTCCTAGTTCCGGTGAGGGTAGACATGCCGCCAAGGACATGACTGAAGCAGTGGCCCCACTGGTGAAATCATTAACCTCCACCACCATTCAGAATGACATCAGCACAAACACAGGAAAACACAGCACAGCACAGCCCTGCCCTGAATCCTTCCACCTGGAGCTTAGCAGTCAGTCCCATTGAAAAACATGAACGATAACAAAGAAAATCAGTTTCTTCCTTGTCTTCCTTCTACAGCAGAAGCCAACTGTTAACATTAAAAAGGTTTGTGGCTCCATTTCTGCATTTACCCATGACTCTTCATCGCGAAGAGTTCTGAAAGTACAACACACACCATATGTTGTGTTCTGTGTCCCTGTCATGTGCTCATTTGAGTTCTTATGAGGAAGTCAACAAAACCCAAGCATTTCAGGCAATGCCAGAGACTGAAAGAGAGGCTAAGGATGGCCTGGCATGTCCAAGCCAACCTACCCAGAAGTGAAGAGACTTAGCCTGGAGAGAACAGAAAAGAATTCAGATAGGCTAGAAGAAAACAAAAAGAATAACAATAATTCTGGGCAAAGTTCTGTGCCCAGAGGCTGTAAGGATTCTAAATTTGTTCTTTGCAACTGATGGCCATAAGAAATTAAAGGCATGAAAAAAATGAAGTTTACCTGTCTCAAAAAAAAAAAGAAACAAAAGAAGAAGAAGAAGAAGAAGAAGAAGAAGGAGAAGGAGAAGGAGAAGGAGAAGGAGAAGGAGAAGGAGAAGGAGAAGAAATGCGATTTATTACTGCTGCTGTTTTGTTTGTAAAGAAAGAACTTCAATTCTCAGAAGTTTGACTTTAGAGGCCAACAATGTTCCTGGCAGGAAACCTGCAAATGTGGAGGCTTTAGAGGAAGGAAGGACCGAGATCGAGTCCTCCCACAGAAAGCAGCTCTGAAAGTTGTGATCAGCCGACAAACATTCCAATGCAGTGCCAGTTCAGAATCTTGGGCTCCAGGCAAGATTCTTGATGTCTCTCTGATCGCTGGTTTCCTCATTTTTTAGAATGGAGATAAGGTCAGTTATCAGAGGAAATAAGGCAACACATGTAAGCTGTCTAGTTTATTCTGTGTATGTGTGGAGGTGCACAGGTACACATGCCTACACATGAATATGGAGGGCCACAGGACAGCCTTGGTGTCATTGTTCAAGTGCTGCCCATCTTTTTATGAGCCAGATGTCCCACTAAGCTGGAACTCACCAAGTAGGTAGGCTGGCTGGCTTCAGGAATCCTCCTGTCTCCGTCTCCCCAGTGCCAAGGTTACATTGCAAGCACATGTCACCATGCCTGGCTTTTTTTTTTTTTTTAAACATGGGTTCTGGGGATCAAATTCATGTCCTTGTACCTGCAAAGCAAGCACTGTACCAACTAATGCATGCATGTCCCCAGCCCCGATGTCTTAGTGTAATCATTGATGTATTCAATAGTGTATTCAGTAAATGGTGATGGCTATAAATCACATGAAAAGAAAGCAAGAAAAATACTCAAGTATTTACTAGTGGGGGGAAAAAACTATATTGGAAGGAAACAAAGTTTGGGGAGATAATCTGCCCTGTTCTTATACGTCCTACATTTTGGCCCTGATACAGCTTAGTCTGTAAGGAGAAGGTGGCATGTTGATGTCTGACTCAGTTGCAAAGTGCAGAACAGTCCTTGGAGTCTCGCCTTCTCATAAACACTTTAATACTGAGAAGAAAATCACCGTCCTCAGTGTGAACCTATAAAAGTGACTATGCACTTGCATTAGTCCGTCCCATATGCTGCTAGAGATTGAAATCCACCTTGGCAAAGAAGTTCAATACCATGGTTATCATGAACATCTTTTACTAGACACCACGACAAATGCTTTTAGAGTCTTTTAAACCAGGAGAAAGGAAAGGTTTCGGTGTGCCACGCACTAGGTTTTATTTTCCATCACAATGAGTCCTCCCAAGTCTATGAGAAAGATTCTGTGGCTTTACTATAGAAACCAAGTAAGAGATAAAATAAGCTGTACGTAGGCTGGGGATGTAGCTCAGTTGGTAAAGTGCTTGCCAAGTCCTGGGTTGGATCCCTAGTACAGCATAAAATAGGTGTCCTGAAACACACCTCTAATCTCAGCATTCAGGAGATGGAGGCAAGAAGGATGGGAGCTGTGGAGCTGTTCTGTCATCCTTGGCTACACAGGGAGTTAGAAGCCAGTCTGGGCTACGACATAAGACTTGATCTATAAATAAACACAAGATGTGTGTATTCTTTCATTGCTTTCATTTATTTATGAATTTCAAAGCAAGCATCCTTGTGCATCTTTTGTAAAGCATCAGGCAGAGAAAATCATTGTCCTCGAGAGGTTTACAATTTAAAGGGAGAACAAGATGAGCAGCTCTCATAACAGACTGGGAGAGATGTCACCAAAATACAAAGTACCATGAGAATAAGATTAATACCAACTAGGAATTCACGAAAGGCTCCTGTGAGGGAGTTATGGATTGGTACAAAAATAATGAGAGGCAGAGCAGGAATGTGCTAGAGGTGTGTGGTTTGACCTGAGGAACCAATGCTCAAGAATGTGTGTTGCATCTTGGGATGAAAGCTGTTTGTTGCAATAGGGAGGGAAATGGGTCGACACTGGATATGTCAAGAACTCTGAATGTCAATTTTAGCTATTTACTTTTGTTAATTACATTAACACTAAATACCATGAGGTATACTCAGAAACCTGCCAAGAGGGGAAGAAGGAAGGAAAAGCAATTCCTTAACGAGCACGTCTCAAACAGCACTTGAGGCACCCATACGGGGCTGTAATCTGGACTTCTTCATGCTACTGAGGCTTTCTGTGTTCTCGATTTGGAAGTGGACAAGCTCTTTCTTGTCTTACTTTACCCTTTTTAGTAACCAGCTTTTACACTTTCTCCTTCCTTTCCCAGGACACTAAAAAATTAGGCAGACAAGCAGATTCTGGAGAAATCCAAAGAGTTTTTGGCAGGAGGAAAAGGAAATGTTATGCAAATCCATCAGCCTCAGACATGCAGCCTCCAGTGAGGTCATCCTGGTCCCTTCAATCGAGCTGCATCCTCCGAGTTTTCTGATTTCTTGTCATCGCTCCTTCATTCCAGTAGTTTTTGAATGCCACTGTGTGTGTCTGTCTCCCGAACTACTTAGAAGGCAGCCTGATTTCCCCTTGGTTCAATCTCAGCTTATCTCATTCTCTCTTGGGCCATCAACCTTCCTCCAAGGATTCTACCTCCAACACACAGCTAGTGTGAGCAACTGGAGACTTTTTTAGTGCTGAGTTTCTTTCTTCATTTCATCCCAGCACTCGCTGCCTGGACACTCCAGTTAGTTCACTCCAGCTTAGTTTACATGTTTCATTTAACTAGCAATGCTGTGGAAAACCTTCCTCCCTCCCCCTTCAAGCCAGGGTCTAAAACATCCTTCCTCCTGGAACCATTAGGTAATCCCTCCTTCCTACTCAAAGAGACATTCATTTGGCTTTAAATTGTATTGTACATTAAGCAATAACTACTCATTTCCTTAAAGGAGGCCTATACACTTGGATATGTGTGGAAGAGAAAGGCAACGGAGGCAGGTGAATTCCCTTATGGGGTCCCACTATGTTCAAACTTGCCCACTTGTCCACCACAGCTCTCAAAGACGTGAGCTTGCTAGCCCTTGCCTCGCCGTCTTTAAACACAGCAGTCTCTTGGGAAGAGACCCAGTGTATGGGAATGCTGACAGCCAACTGTGCCTGACTCAACAGGCAGGATTACAGCACCACCAAATTAAAGTATGCCTCGCAATAGTGTGGAGGGGCAGCTGATTCACTGGGGGACGGGAGCGGGGGAGGGGGACAAGAAAATGAGAGATCACGGAAAGTCCCAGAGGAAGTCGTAACGTCCCATTCTAGAGGCCTGCTATTGTGTAGTGTGCATGTAAGATACACCCAGAGCCCCTGTGTCACTCACTGCTCCTCTTCACCCTCCTTCATCCCAACATATGCCTCACCCCAGGTCACCTGAGCCTCAATAAGCCCGCTGGCTGCAGGCTCCAGCTCTGTCCACCACCTGCCTAGGACCAGCCAACGTGGACATTTGTGACCTGTAATCCTAGCAACGCCAGACAACGACCCCTAGCCCCAGCCTTCCATCCACAGGTTCTTATTGTGCCTTTTGCCCAGTCTGACGGCAGCCCCTAAACGGTAATCCGAGTAGGGCAGACAGATGGGAGGAGAGGGGAACAGACACACATTTCACAGGGACCCAAATTAACCTGCTGCCCCTCGTAAAGTCCCCACCCTCACCCCCCTTTCCTCACAGTGGGACTGGAGGCGCTGACTGAGCAAGCAATGGGAGCGCTATCTAAGCCGGTGTACCGCTTCACACAAAGCCCTTCACCTTCGGCTCGCCTTGCAAGCTCCTCCCTGGGCTTGGTCTCCCAGGGTCTCTGATGCCCCCTTCGGTGGTCGGTGGGACGGTCCGACTCGCTCTAGCAGCGCAGTCTCTGCCTCTTCCTCCCCGCCCCTCATCACTGAGCCCAAAGGGAGCTCCTCTCGGCTTTAGGGACGTGAGGGCTCCCCATGAGTCCACGGTTCCTGAGCAGACCACGGTCCAGTGTGCCGGACACAGCTTCGCGCAGCAGCTCAACAACCACACACACCCCAACCCCGAGGAGGTCAGTTCCAGCGCCCAGCTCCGCATCCCCATCCCCTAAGCGGGCGCGCCCAGACGCAGCTGCGCTCCTACCTGCGATGCGCCGGGCAGCTCCGAGCGCAATGCCGGAGCCTGGCGCCCGCGCGTCTGCCGGGTGCGGCGGCGGTGCGGCCGCGGGCTGGCACTCGGGCTAGCTGCCCGCTGTCTCCTCGCTGGGGTTTCCTGTGGGGCTGGACAAAGGACATTTCCTGGGAGGAGCGGGGAATGTTCCCAGCATGCCTCGATTTGTAGTTCGCGGGGACTTCCTGCCACCGCAGCAGCAGCAGGAGCCCCTACTGGGACCCCAGGACTGGAGGAGGGGCGCTCCCTGAGTCCCTGGACACTGCTAGGCTGGAGTGGCGCGTGGCTGATGGCTGACCCATCCGGCACCACTGGCAGAGCCGCGGTCCTGCAGATGAGTGCTGCACGCACCCGCTCGCTGCCCTGTGCGCGCGGTGCGAGCGGCCTTTTCTTTAAAATTGAAGTTTGTGATGGGTTCTCTTTAAGTAGGCTTTACCCCCTCTAATAGATAGTCTTCCATGAGCGGAGATTGAGATGAAGACACACTCTGACACCCAGCTTGACCTGGAACTCACCTGGACAACTCACCGCGACTCTCCTTCCTCAGCTTCAGGCGTGTGCCAAAGCGAGTTTGTTGTTTTGTTTGTTTCTCTTGTGTGTCAAGGCTCTGTCTTAAAGCCCCCTGCTTGCTGGGCAAGTGTTCGTTCTGTCGTTCTACCAACTTTTTCACCTCCGAGTTTCTCTAACCCAGAGATTCTCAACCTATGGGTTGCAAGCCCTCTGGGGGTCAAAGGACCCTTTCACAGGGCCCACCTAAGATCATCGAAATACAGGGATATTTACGTTACCATTCATAACAGTAGCAAAATTACAGTTATGAAGAAGCAACGAAAATAATTTCATGACTGGGGGGGGGGAGGGGCACCACAACATAAAACTGTATTAAGGTTTCCAAACCTTAAGAGGGTTGGGAACCACTGTACTACCCAGTCAGGATTCAGCTACTCCGCGTTAAAGAAAACAACTTGACTGCCCTCCTGGAATCAAATCCTTAAGGTCTTGGCACTTTGTCCCTAAAACCATAAGGAGCTGATCATTCCCAGATCTTGGCCCAGTGTCATCCCTTTCCTCCACTGTTGGCCTCCATCCAGGCTTCTTTTCAAGAAAATTAATTGAATTGAGAGATAGAAAATAAACTTTATGAACTAGATATGTGAAAGTCGGTATGGCCTTGAATTAGGGACGTTCTGGACTTTCTATCTTATCTTCATTCACCTTTAGGATTCGGCTTTCTCAGCCCAGTGACATATCCCATGGAATGTGTTTTTGCGTGGGAAAGGACTCTGGCTGCCAGAAAGGGACTCCACTTCCAGCCTAACAAGGACTAATGAGTCTCCCATCAGTTTGTGGGGCTCAGGACACCTGTGAGAAAGTCAAGGTAGGGCAACATAAAAGCTAAATGACTAAGAGCTGCGCCTTTCAAAGGATAGAGTGAAGGGTACCATAAACCAGTTCAGGAAAGGACAAGTCCTAAGAGTTGTCCTCAGACAACTTGAAAAACAATCTGACAATGGCCCCATGTAGTGGTACCACCCAGGAGGCTAGGGCAGGAGGGTGTGGAGTTCGAAGCCAATGTGGGCTACCTAGCAAGACCCTGTCTGTAGGTAATACATGCATACATAATCATCCAGAGGTCACAATTACCTGTCATTTCCATTTGTCATCACACATCTTGAATCTGAATAAATAGGGACATTTATTCAGTGAGGGCTTTAGTCTGTGTAAAGAACAGATTATCTTCTAAGAATGCTGTAACCATTCTTCTAGAGGCCTTTAGTTGCAGGGCTAAGTGGAGAACTGATATCAAGCAAGCCAATAGGATTGTTTACTTTCCAGAAGTCCTTGTTATCTGTTGACTATCCTTCTAAATCAGTTGCACAAAATGCTGCCCCTTGTAGTCTTGGACCATTCCAGTGAAAAAAACTTCCCACTCTTCCCTTAGGGAAGAACTCACAGTCCTTTGTCACATCACGGAGCCTGGGGGTGCTCAGTCTGAGAAGGCAGTAGGCTTGCCGGTGGCACTGAACGCCATCTACTCTGACCTCACCCAAGTTATTCTCGCCCTTTCCTCTCACACCACTCTCTCCTACATTTCTTACTTTTGTTGATGATACTTAAATTTGACTCATTATCTTCACCACACCACATCAAACCTGTCCCTTCTCTTTTTGTTTCCAATGTAGTTAGTTCATCACTTTGGGTAAGTTTTATTTTTTTAATATACTCATGTCTTTATAATTTTCAACAGTGACCTCACTGTTGTGACTAAGCTCTATGAAACCTGCAGTGGTCACTGTATGTGGAGTGTGTGCTGTGGGGGATGGACAGGAGGACACTAGCCATAAGAATGGAGCTTTGCTTCCAGGCTAACAAGGGTCTGTGGCGTCTTCTGCAGGGTATCCGCTGAGGTTTGCTTCAAGAGCCCACACCCCAGTTGACAAGATATAGCTCACACAACTACTACACGGCATCCAAGGCCAGTAGTACTCAAAGTTCTATGTAGGAATTTGTGTTATCAGAAGACTGTGGTCTTCCCATAAGCCCTTCTGTCCCTCTAAGGCAGTGGTTCTCAGTCTTCCTAATGCTGCCACGCTTTAATACAGTTCCTCATGTTGTGGTGACCCCAACCAGAAAATTATTTTCGTTCTTACTTCCTAACTATAATTTTGCTACTGTTATGAATTGTAATGTAAATAACTGTGTTTTCTGACAGTCTCAGACAACCCCTGTGAAAGAACCTTTTGATCCACAGGGGTGCGAATGAAAATGAGAAGGAGGAAACAGACAAGGTGTGAACTTTGTTTCTGAAGGACTCTGACATCAATGGGAATGGGCTCAAAACTGGGTGTTGTTCATGGAGTTTTCTTTGTTTGGCTTTCAAGATGCACAGATCCTTGGGGATATTCAGATTTTGGCTAAAAAAAAAAATGTCAGATGGTAAAGACAAAGGGAGAGAGGAAGGATGGGGGATTGGCATCCAACAAAAACTTGATGAACTAATAAATTCCTGCAACGTAGCACGATTGGTGATGTTGACATTGAAATGAACAAAGTGCACATTCCAACAGAGACACACAGAGTCTGAGACAGAAATGGCATTCCTTTCTCCCTGGTCATACTCCATTCCCTGCCCTTCACATCCCCAGGGGAAGATGATGAATGGGGGGAAGGAGAGATTCAGGCCTCCCTGGTGCTCAAGGACAATCTTTCTCTGACTTAGAGATAGATTTAAAAAGTGCACAGCAACTTCAGAATAGCCGATGCTTCCAGGGTTTTATTTTACTTATCTTTAAATAAGTATTTTACCCTACCCCTGCCTTTTATTTTTCTTTCCATGTGGACATTGCAAAGAGCCTCCTGAGTACTAGGCAAGGATTCTGTAGCTGAGTTACATCCCAGCACACTCTCTTTCCTTTTTATTTCAAGACTGTCTCACACTAAGTTGCCCAGGATGGCCTTGAACATTTATACTCCTCCTGCCTCAACCTCCGGAGAATCTGGGATAAGCAGCCTGTGCTGCCAGACCCTGCTCATTTTGTTACTTCACTGTCTTGAAGTACAATAAATAGCTATTCTCATTCTTGCCTTTCAAAGAAGGGAGTTGAGCTTAGAAAGATTGCCCAGCAACACAAATAGCCCTTGTATTTTTTATTACTGACATTATTGTTTTAGTTATTTTAGGTGAACCAGAAGTAGGATTGACTGGTGGTGAGGGTTATAAAAGATAGTGTTGCTGTTAGATGCCTTCTCAGATGCAGGACCTAACACTTGCTCAAGGGATGACAACTGGGAAAATATTTAATCCTGTAGCCATCGGAAATGAGCCATTTGTCATCCTCCATATTATCAAATTTATCTTCATTATATTCGGTAAACCCCGTTTCTCTGAAATATGGGCCTTCTGGTGGCCAGAGACAATGAATATAGCCCAGGCATAGGGCTTTGTCATATGCTGTTTTGTTTTTATCTAATATCAACAGAACTGTTCCAAGTGACCTCAGAAAGATTGAATTTTTTGTGTGTGCATGTGGCAATACTCCTCAGAAAAGAAGGAGAGAAGAACAAGGCAACACAGAAGGGTGGGTTTACCTAAATAGCAGCCACCAACCAGGAACTTTGCCTTGGAAGACACACTGTTCTACATAATCAGCCTGGGATGGTTCCAGGTATGTGCGGTAAGCCAATCACTGGCCATTATGAAGAACTGAAATGATGTGGTACACCATCAGGACCTCACTGCTAGTGAGCTCAGCTGTGTTTTCTCTATTCTATTGGCTCATTTGCTTAAAGGAAGTCTTTTTTTGAACACAGAGCCTCGAGTATGCTAAACATTCTACCAACTGAGCTACATCTCCAGCCCCTGAAAAATGATGTGTAAGCCTTAAAATTCCGGTTACCTTGGCTGGCTTATTGATGGGTAATATGTACCTTAGGCTTTGATTGTCTTCTGGAGGCACTTGGTATTTCTCTTTTAAGTCCCAAGAGTAGAAAGCATTCTGGGACACACTGGGACACCCCCACACCACACCCCTTCCTTCTGCTTGGTGTCAGCATCCAACTGCAGACCAGCCTTTCTGTGGGCAGCTCCTTCTCATCCTACCCAAATGTCCAGATGGAGAGTGTAGCTCAGTGGTCGGGGGAGGGAGTGACTAAGCTCAGTGTCATCTCTGAGATCGTCTCGCTCTTTGTTACCCCTCTGTTTTCTTCATATTTGAAACAACTCAAACTTGATCAGCTATTCTGATGAAATGAGATTAGTGACTATGTCCTATTCATGGTTCTGTCCAAGAGCTCAAGAGAATGGAAGGCGAAGGCATAATGATTTTACTATACCCAAAACACATGATAAATGGGTGTTTACTGGGGAACACTTAGACAGATAATAATAAAGAACCACAGCAATGATCCTCTGCCCTTCCTATCCGCTGACCCAAGAGAAAGAGCCCAGAGAGAGACCATGCCTCACACTTTCCCTCTTTCAGCTATCTGCCTAAAGCCACGCCCAAAGGGGTGTGGCCACCGTTACAGGTTCACAGGCAAGAACAATTCCCCTTTCAGTCTAAAGGTTTTAAGCAAAACCTTCTGATGCAAAAACTATATACAATGATAACAAATGTCAAGTATATTCCAGGAAAAGGAA